AAGCAATGAGGCAAAACACGAATTTTCCGACTTTTTAAGGGATAGGGGCCTGCGCCCCCCCCCCCCCCGCCCCCGTCTAGATCCGCTGGTGGCAGTTATGGCCTTATCAATTAACACTCGTTATTGAAGCATTGCTCCTATAAGACGAAGCCATAATTTAGTAGAGTATATACGTACAGAATCATATATATTCTGAGAATAACAAGACAGCCCTTATATTATATTGCAGATTTTTTTGCACGACCGTGGCACACTTTATACAGTTTATGCCATACGCAGCTCATTTTGATTTTGGGTCATGTATACAATGAAATCATCACGCAGCAGCCGAGTCTCCGTGGCGCAATCGGTTAGCGCGTTCGGCTGTTAACCGAAAGGTTGGTGGTTCAAGCCCACCCGGGGACGGCAATTTTTTATTTTAATTCTTCAAAAAAAGATTATTGGAAGACAATACATTATAATTTATAACAAATTCGAACATGACTATTCACGCCTTCTAAATACTGTAAACAGGGTCATCATTTCAACCGGGGTATATTCGCGACCATTTGCCCTGGTAATACGTGTAATGTGTGAAGTCATAGCAGCGGACCGTAGTAATTTGGTGAGTTTTCATGTTCGAATCGTAATATAGACCTCAGAGCAGGTGTAATATTGTCGAATACACGCCTTAGGGAAAGGCACAAAAGCTTTAGATTTCGAACCCCTCACTCCCTCCGGTCGTTCAGGGTACAGAAAACGTTTGTGCCTAGCCCTGCGGGGTGTATTCGTCAATATTACCCCTGCTCTTTGAACCATATTTCTTAATTTGATATATCGATGATATCTATCAAGCATACCGTGCTGTAAAATCGGGGTTTCTTTATGTTAAACTTGGACTGCTCTAACAAATTCGCTCAAGTTTTTTGTATTTATTTGATCCCAACAGATGATGAACTTCTCAGTATGAGAAATAACCCTCATGTTGTCAATGTTACAAGGTGTGCTGTGTGGCATCTCGTATTCCGCATTCTGTGATCTAAACATGATATATTTGAACGGGAGAGTAACACACATCCTTGATATACTGAGTATAGAGCCTGGAACTAGTCTTTTATATCATGTCAGAATGAAAATCTATATGGAAGAACTTTTCACGCATACCTGCATCCATTTGCAAAGCAGCGAACGAGTTTGCAGTTCGAAACGTATAAAAACAACTAATACGTTTAACGACGAGAAAAGACCTGCGTTGAGTTCTAGTCTAACTACGTGTGCGTACTGCGTACACTGCTAGCTACGCCTCTGATACTGAATTACGCTCAATTTTATATCAATGCAAGTGCATTTGGTTGTGTATCAGATGCTGGCACACTTTTGCCGGAAGGTTGCAGGAAGTAACTTTTGGCAATGCAGTATGTTAGAGTAACCTAGTAGGTGTAAGAACATATAAGGTGATGGGCTTTAAAGTGGTAAAAACAATTTTCACGGCCGAATTGGACTTCAATTCCTGCGATTTCAGGGGGTACTATAAGACTATTTCATAACATAAAGGGTATAGTTGCTATTGTTCTGCTTTCTACTGCACACATTACTAGTCCAAAGATGAATAATATCCTAAAGTTATAGGCCGATATCTGTATTAGTCTCAGAAATATTGCAATTAATAGGAAAACAAAATGACAAAATGGCCCTGTACCCACAATCTTTGATACAATGTATCTTTTCAGCGACACCCCTAGATTCTGAAATGTTGCAATCCTATGTAACTTTCCATACGAAACAAAGTGATATGTAACATGATAGGGTAGCAGTCTTGATGTATGAGTTTATGGGGGGGGGGTGCATACATATTACCTGATTATTACCTGATTACCAATGGTTCTGGAAAGAGGATAGTCATATGAAATACCCTTTCAGATCAATTGATGAAGCAAACAAAGAGAAATAATAAAGTACCTCTTGATTGTATTGACGTGATTGTGCCAGCACAATTCAGTCATTGTGACAGCACAATCCAAAAAAACAATACATGTTAAGTAGTAATTGTTTTAATTACAATACATGTTTGTAAGAAACCTGCAAAGAGAGATTGAATCTTTAATTATGTAAGCCCATACATTGGTAAATCACTATATCATCCAATTGAAATACATGTTAATGTATTAAACGCAGTTATTGTATTATGTATCTTGGTGAAAACATGGAACATAATGATCGCTTTGAGATATATCAGGTTTGGGGTTGTCTCATGATGTAAAATCAATTATAATTTTGCTTTTATTCAGAAATGTTGAATGGTACACATGGTACACGTTTATATTAAACTCATCATTATGAATATATTAAAAATTCATTGCCAACCATATAAGCTTTCAATGCATGTAAATTTCAAATACAGTATGTTTCTTTTTTAAAGAGATAAAACTATGAGCACAGGCCGACTATAGTCTCCCACACACACAAGTCTACAAATTCAATAATATTTTTAAGCCCAAATCATGAAGGAAACATATAGTCAGTTTTAGAAGCTATAGTGTATGTATCCCCTATATAAGGGGTATTTTAAGGGGTGAATCAATTATTTCTGCTTAAAACTTATTCTATTATTTATTTTATATGAACTATATATAGTCATCTATATTGGTCTAAAATGAAAGAAAACTATTAATACTATGCATGGGTATAAGGTGTGGTAAGTAAATTAAAAAGTATAGATGATGGTTTATCTGAAAATAATACGAAACCAAATTATATGGAAATACGTTTAATTTTTTTCTCAAAAAGTGATAAAGCTATGAACATAGGGTTACTGCAGTCTCTCAACAGCATAATTGTATATATTCAGAAATATTTTTAAGCCCGAATCCTGAATAACACAAAAGTTACGGAAGTTAACTTAAGTACCCCCTTTAAAATAGGGGGCGTTTTAAGGGGTTAATCAACTATTTCTCTATAAATTATGATTTTTATACATTGAAAAAAATTTTAGTGCATAATTTAATGTACCATTGATCAATTTAAGCTATTTGAGATGTCTTTATGTTTCAGTTATGAAAAAAATAGTTTTAAATTTTGGGGTAAATTGTAGGGGGCGCCACCTATAGGACCAGTTTTCACATTCGTTGCCGGGGCTAGGACAGAGAACCCAAGCTCAAAATAAGCCAAGACCTTGCTCTACATGAATCCAGTGAGAAACTTAGGGGACAAATTTATTTTCTAAAATTTGCTCAGCTGCTGACCTATTGAGACAGCCATTCATGATCATTTATCATATTATGGAAGATATTCTCAAACAAACCATCTACAAAGTGGCCTAAAATGCAACCCACTTATTTTGGATCACCACAATTCTAAGACAATTGGGGATAACCCCATACACTAATTATAAAGTGTGGTGACATAAAAATTACCTTCAAATTGATCAAATCCTTTTCAAGATCATTTACAAGTTCTCGGATTCAAATCTGACTTTAGATTTGAGAATTGCCATTCTTTTTTTCTAAAAAGTTTTCTTCAACTGATTATTGTTTGGTATTCAGGGTGAAAAAAATTATATAGGATTGCCCATCGGTGGGGACATGTACACATGTTCTTGTATAGTTCTGATATACAGATATCCGCTATGGTGTTTAAACTGCTTCTTTATTCGGTACATTAATATTCCATAAATACCAAATAAAAGAAACAATTTACCAAACCTTTACCCAATCTATCGAATGTTTTTTATTTTATCAAATGTAATAATCTATACAATTTATATTCGCTAAATAGTTTCACTTGTTCTTTGTATTAACATTCACATTTGATATGTATACATGTATTTGTGTGATGCAGCGAATCAATTTGTTTTCCTTAACGCACGTATAATTCAATTAATTATTTGTACATTCGGTATTTAAATTATTTATATTCGGTAAATACCGAATGCCACATTCGATAAATTTCGTTATTTTTCGATAATTTACGAGACTTTCAGTCACGTGATATATTTGTACGATGTAGAATAGCTGCGCGGCCATTTTGCAAATCTCGAAGTCACGTGACAAAATATCGAACAACAACGCAAGTTATCGAATGTTGCTTTATTTTACCATATTCTATGGCCACTGAGTGTGGCCATACAATATAAATAACACACTCTTTGTTGTTTTGAATTTGCCTTAAATTGCCGAGCCGTCTTATTTTTATTGATGTAAACATAATAAACTCACCTTCATTGATCTTTACACGTAGTCCTATTTCATAAATTGGTCTACTTCGCAGGATATTTATTCACAAAATAAAACTGAAGGAAATTTTTACAACAAGCGGCCATCTTGACTAAATCGCTATAGCGGAAAAAAGGCATGCTTTCAAAATGGAGAACGAGACAACGTCTATTTTAAATGAAAACGTTCAATATCTCATCAATAAGATAAGCCGTTATCATTTCAATTAATGAAATATTAACAGAATGATTTTTAGAATATTACATAAATTCATTGAACTCCGGCTTAAGATTTTACAATAGTTCACGGTGTTCCAGATGGAAACACTTCTAGCCAAGAATTGGCTAGAGACTCGAGTAAGCTTTATTGCATTCGGTAAATAGCAAGTTAGCTTTCGGTAAATAGCAAATTAGCTTTCGGTAAAATGCATTAACTATGTCATAGAAAAATAAACCATTTGGTAAATATAGGCAAACTTATTTCGGTATGGTTCAAATAGAAATTCAATATTGTGCATATAATGTGTTACTCTTAAGGAATATCATAACAATTTACGCAAAAAAATATCATAGAAATATGTAATTTAATGCACATAGTATTAAGTGATTGGCTATTTTGAAAACTTAATTTGCTGTAACAAACATATAAACGTTTTTACCGAATGGAAAAATGATTTAGCGAATATGAATGTTTCATATATCGAATATATTTGAATTTAATGAATAAAGAAGCAAAAATAATGCCATAATCCGCCGCTGTAAAAATCCAATGACTCACAACCATGAATTTCTCATTTTGTTTTATTTGTACCTTCGTATATACATAGGCTATAGCAATCACATTTCAAAATGTACAGGATGCTAGATTATTGAAGCTAAAGTCTGCAACTCATATTTCAAAATGGCGTGTCTGGTCTCTTTGCGATCCACTCTGCTAACTGTGGTATTGCGTTCACCCTATTGTACAGAGCAAGTAGCTTTGGGTAGGGCGTCAGTATGTCTGGTATGAGACCCACCATGAACTCTAGCTGCACTGCTAAATCAATGTCAAACATGCTCACCTAAAATGTAAATTGTGCTCATTAAAGAAATTATCTGCAAATTGTGCTCATTAAAAGTATTATTTGTAAATTGTGCTCATTAAAGAAATTATCTGCAAATTGTGCTCATTAAAAGTATTATTTGTAAATTGTGCTCATTAAAGATATTATCCGTAAATTGTGTTCATTAAACGTATTATCTGTAAATTGTGCTCATTAAAGGTATTATCTGTAAATTGTGCTCATTAAAGGTATTATCTTTAAATTGTGCTCGTTAAAGATATCTGTAAATTGTGCTCATTGAGGTATTATATCTGTAAATTGTGCTCACTAAAGATATCTGTAAATTGTGTTCATTAAAAGTATTATCTGTAAATTGTGTTCATTAAAGGTATTATATGTAAATTGTGCTCATTAAAGGTATTATCTGTAAGTTGTGCTCATTAAAAGGTATTATCTGTAAATTGTGCACATTAAAGGTATTATCTGTAAATTGTGCTCATTAAAGGTATTATCTGTAAATTGTGCTCATTGAAGATATTATCTGTAAATTGTGTTCATTAAAGGTATTATCTGTAAATTGTGTTCATTAAAGGTATTATCTGTAAATTGTGTTCATTAAAAGTATTATCTGTAAATTGTGCTCATTAAAGGTATCATCTGTAAAGTGTGCTCATTATAGGTATTTTCTGAAAATGGGATAAATCTTATTCCAAGCAGTACTTACATCGTCTCCTGTAAGAAATACATTCCCAGTTAAGAACTTCTCTATATTTGATAAATGGCCAGGAGCCACGTTCTCGGCAAATTTCTTAGATTCCTTGGCCTATAAAAGGACAATTGTCACTTTTGTTTTGCACAATTTTCAATAAAGTATGTGTACTTCCTTAAATATTGCCTGAGTCGCATTTGCCCCGATTCATCGGCCGCCCGGCCGATTGAGTAATTCGTTTAAAATAGATCAAACGACCAGGCGCCGGCCGATGAATAGGAACAAATGTGACCCAGACATTCGGAAATATCTATCAAAAGTTCGAATACTTCCAAACATTAAATTAAATCGATTGTGAAGCTGCGACTGCCGATTAGTGAACAAGATGTAATTATTAAAGGTGTTACAAATTCCTCGTGTCAGAAGTTGTTTGCTTTTGATTTCACAACAATAAAAAATACCTTTTTATCGGCATCTTTCACCATGTAGAATTCCCAGAACAATTTACTAAGATCAGTGATGGCTTCGACAACTGCATCCCCGATGGCTTGGCCCCAGGAATCTTTGCCAAGTAAATCTACAAAATAAAACACAGAGTATAACTTTTTTGTGAAATCTTGAATTATCGCGGCCAAAAACCACTAACTACTAACTTTTCATTCTTTTTAAAGGCATTTTTGAATTCAGTGACGTTTTCCACAATAACAACTTTGATTCATACACAGTTATGCCATTAATCATTTTCCATGACGTTTTAAAAAAATTGGGCCAAATCTCCATTGATGTGGAGATGCTAAGATTTTTTTAAATCTTGGTTTATTCGTTTGACAACTAAAAATAAAAGTTCAAGATTAATCACAATAGGTAAATTGACAGGGTCATCCCGTAGTATGCTATTCGAGTTTCAGACAGATTCAACCAGCACTTATTCATAAATCATTAAATAAAGTGACTATTGCAAATTTATAACATGGACGGCTATGGCAGTCTGGCCCAAACAACGAATCGGAATGACAATGGTGACATCTATTATGTCAGCTTTATTCAGCCATGAGGAACTATACCACTGGCAACTTCATACACATGTGTCATACTTACCGAATTCCCTTGCAAGATAACGAGCTATGGCCTTCCCTTGCGGTAATTGCTTTCCATCTACTTCCAGAACTGGTGCTTGGCCGAATGGTAGTGCTAAAAGTAGTGAAAATGAATATAGTGCTTAAACAGTTGAAATAACAGTGCTAAAAAGAATTAATTGGGAGTGCTACATTAGTTCAATGGTAGTGCTGAGAGCAGTTAAAATGATAGTGCTAACATGTAAAAGTGACAGGTGAAATGGCAGCTGTTAATTGGTATATATACATGTAGTGCTACAATAGTTCAATGGTAGTGCTAGAATAGTTATTATTATGGCTAAAAGTAGATTCTTAATCAGGTAATTCATTTGTTATCGGTCATGGTGAACCCCCCCCCCCCTTGTTTATGCAGTTAAGCTGAACACTCGCCTAAACATTGCTCCATGTTTTGTACCCTGCGTGCAGAGTCTAGTTATAAATTACTGAAAAGTCTAGCTTTAGTGCAGAAGAGGTGCTTGGTCTCACACCCCCTTATGACTTCCAAGGTTTACTCGATATATATCCTGGCCCTAATAAATACAGTATTATTTGTAAGATAGGTATCCAACCGGTTCCGTAGTGTAGTGGTTATCACGTCTGCCTAACACGCAGAAGGTCCTGGGTTCGAAACCCGGCGGAACCTACGATGTAGGCACATCTTTTGTTTTTCCTCACTTTAAACTTGTTTGGTAAGAAAGTATGCCCTCCGTCTTACTGTCTGCTTGATTATATTATATTGAATATAACAGTTGCTTTTCGGCCTGCCGTCGGTCCCCGAGTACACACGGGGAGTCAGGGCCTTATCAGTTCAACACTAGTTACTGAAGCATTGTTCCTATGATAACACGAAGCCATAATTTAGTAGAGTATATACGTACAGAATCATATATTCTCAGAATATCAAGACAGCCCTGATTGCAGATTTTTTGCACGACCGTGGCACAGTTTATAACTTTATGCCATACGCAGCTCATTTTGACTTTGGGGCATGGATACAATGAAACCGTCAAGTTGCAGCTGGGTCTCCGTGGCGCAATCGGTTAGCGCGTTCGGCTGTTAACCGAAAGGTTGGTGGTTCAAGCCCACCCGGGGACGGCAATTTTTTATTTTAATTTAAAAAAAAAGATTGTTGGAAGACAATGCATTATGATTTATAACGGATTTGATATATCAATGATATCTATCAAGCAAACCGTGCTGTAAACTCTTTTTTTAATTCACGTATACCTGCATCCATTTGCAAGTCATACCAGGCTTTCACGATAACACTACCACGGTCATGGCAGGATCCTCGCGAAACTTAAAAACACTTAATTATAATAACATGGTGACGGTTGTGACAGGCATACGTCTTGCAATAGATAACATGTGGGAGAGTAACACATTGTCTTAAAGCATTACCAATATTCTAAAATACTGCTATAGTAGGCTGCACTTTCCCACGGTCTTTACGTATCTGTTTTTATGATGATTCACAAAATATATATTATGAATTTAGAACAATAGCATTATATTTTAAGTCTAATGGAGATCACTTCGAAGTGCTCGATTGCATGAATAACCGGCTCTTACTTGGAAACGGGTGGGGCGAAATGGGAAGGGGCCAAATGGGAATTAATGAGGGGCGAAATGGGAAGGGGCAAAGTGGGAAGGGGCGAAATGGGAAGATACCTACTTGGCTTTACCGAAGCCCAATCGGCAATTTCCACCCTTTTATCTTCAAATTCAACACCCTTGAGTTTGAAAAGAAGTCTGAGGCATTCTGCACGCCCCTTGCCATTAAAGTAGATGAGTTTGTAAGACGGCATCTGTAATATTCAAAATAGATGTACAGTATCTGAGTAATTTTCTGCACTCCTCAATTGAGTCACATGTTATTTTTCAAACAAGAATCACTCCTTCCCCACATTGTCTATATTTTCCAGTTTTGCACAAAGAGTGCTCTTATGTGCCTAGAAAAGACTTGTGGGAAGCATGTTTTGATTAAGTGTATAAAAAGCAAGAAAATTCATTGAAAAAATTCAGAAATTTTTCAGAAATTTTTTTCACTGAATTTTCTCGTTTTTTATACAATTTACAAAACAAATCTTCTCACAAGGCTTTTCTAGGCACATAAGTGCACTCTTTGTGCAAACCTGGAAGATGTAGACAATGTGGAGAAGGAGTTATTCTTGTTTGAACAAGTGAGCGATTGCAAAAGCTCACCATGGGAGCTAAAAATAACACGTGACTCAATTGAGGAATGCAGAAAATTCCCAACATGCACCCTGTCCTTAAACATCATTATATCGCGGCTTAGTACAAAAAGTTAAAACATGAACATCAACAACAAGTTCATGAGCTAAACAGTGTTAGGTAATCAAAAGGTAACACAATAGGTTAAAAGACAATATAAGATTAAGGCATGGGTCTCAGGTAGTGAGCAGTGAACATGTACAGCATCTGTAACGCATACACGATATAAATAGATATTCGAGAAGTGTGTCCTTGGGACGAATTAAATTCGAAGTTTGTTTTCTATCCCTCCTCGAAGTTCAAAATCATTTGTTTGCTTTTATTCATTTGGCAATTGAACTTTTAAAATCGTGACAAATCAATATAAATTACATCCAGTGATATTAGATGTGCATGTATACGTATATCCTCGTGAAATTGTTACAATATAATTGATAATGAATACCAAATCTCACAATATCCATTTTAGCTTACAAGAGGATGGAATTTCTTCATCCAAGGTTTACATCATTTTTTAGTGTAGCGATTCTGTTTATATTTGATATATGAATACTCATGACCATGGTACATTGCTTTATGCCTAGACTAGACTTTGACTAGAAGGCGGCCATTTTGAAAATGACCACGAGTGTTATTCACGTTTTTTTTCTATAACTCAAAAGGTAATATAGCAATTTTGTTCAAATTTTCAGTAAATACTCACTAGTACTAGATATAGTACACTGTAGGTGGTCATTTTGAAAATGGACGGCATTTTCACGTACTTGTGTGTGATTTTGTTGAAATTTCATATGTGCCTAGTTAGAAGCATATTACACTTTCTTGAGACAATTTAGCTAGTTTGCGACAATTTTGAAAATGTTGACCTTCCATGACATTTTTATAACAAACATGTGTCAGTATCATGTCTCAGAAAATGTACATGTTTGCGAACAAATGGTTCAGAAGACCACAGAATCGTCGATTTAATACCTCACTTAAGTTACGTAGACGGAAATTCGAAAAACGGTTAAGATCTGCATTTCTAACCCATTCCGTTTAAATTGACAATTCTATTGTCTTCTGAACTATTAATTCGCAAACATGTACATTTTCTTAAACATATGATACTGACACACGTTTGTGATAAACATGTCGCAAGAGAATTCTGCCCACAACGCATGAGTTGATCACCAGGAAAAAGGAAAAAAGAAAAATCGTACCTTCGAGGTTCCGACATTTTGTTACCGACACGGTAACCAGCGTTATCGAGTGGATCACCAGTGTCCTGAGAGGACATCAATAAGCCCTTTTAGCCTTAGCTAATTCCATTTATAGATGGCAGTCATATGATAAAAATTCAGGAAATGATAACATAGAAGGTATGGGGATTCTCTAGATTTTTCACCCTTTTCTTTGACTCTGAAAAAAATATTTTTATTTAAAAAAATTCTTGGGCCATAGGTCATGATGAAATTATTATCTATTTAAAGACATCAAAGATATATCTTTTCCAACTGTTATATAACTGGAAAATGACTAATTGGTCAAGGGTCACTACAGGGCCATACATTACATGTGAATTATTTAATCTACTTTCTTCTTAGTATTTCTTCTGGAAGTACAAGATATCTAACATCTATAATTACACTTTGTAGTATTCGTTAATTAAAATGTGTGGAGAAAAAACTTTAGAAACATTTTCAATGATATCAAATATAAGTGTTAGTTGGCACATTAGATCAGTTTCTGAGTCTGTGAATAAATTATTTGGGATTAGTTATAAAACTATGTCTGAATGTAAACTCTCAAATCCTGCATCAAATATCTGAATGATCTCTAACTATCTAGTTAACTTAACCTTTTATCCTGTATCAGTATGTGGACAATAGTAAACATTGTAATTCAAGCTGCACTTAAAACAAGCAGTATCTTACTGGTGGCTATATAAACTTATTGACCCGAGGTCATTTTGGTGATTTAAGCTGACCAACATCAAGCCAAATATTTTAAACAAAATAGCCAATATTCATCTTTATTTTCCATTATTTATGTTGTTTTAAAAGACTAAAAAAACTTTATACCAATGATATATAAGATCTTACCTAAAGATCTGTTGATTTTCTGAATGAATGAGGAAACAGAAATGGTAGCATTATGATGTTAAAATCATAGTATAAATGTGATGTTTTACATGTTGGTTCAATGGGGAACTGCTTTAGGCCTAAGATTCTTTTCCTGAAAATGGGCTAGACATCTATTGGCTGTTTATAGAGTATTTTCAACTATCTAGCTAGGCTAAACTCCTGTATTGATTCTACGCGTTCTTCATCTCTTAAAACGTGATGCTTAACTACCTTATTAGCTCTATTGCATTATGTACGACTCCCGGGATATGACTACGTTCATGTACTTAGGTGAAATACAAATAACCACTGCACAAACAGATGATTATCGGCAGTGACTCTCCTCTGAACACTCTCACCACTATGTACACTTCAGATACAGTTAACATTGTGTAGACAAATTGGTTCAACGTTTTTTGCATTCTTTTTTAAAACAGTTTTAAAAATCGAGCAGCTATGATCTTATTTCGACTCAAAAACTGATCTTCTAATTAAAAGAGTATCCATAATATTCCGTTTGCAATGCAAATTGTCGAAACTTACCATATAATCAGTTAGGTCCAAAGTTTGCTTACTCTTACTCGGCTGCAGTCTATCCTGTTAACAGAACTGTTTATGTTATGAATACCAGCATGTGTTAGGTGCGTGACTTGTTCTAAGAGGAATAGCTAGTTCGCCTAGTTTGATTGTACAGCTTCACCCCATGGAAAAGATCGACTAAAATTACATTCGTATGATGTGAGATTCGACATTCACCAGAAAACTACAAATAATTTGTCACCCATTATTTTATATCTTAAAAAATGACTTGTTGTCTTAAAGAAGTTATCACAAAAAATACCGTCCCCGGGTGGGCTTGAACCACCAACCTTTCGGTTAACAGCCGAACGCGCTAACCGATTGCGCCACGGAGACATGTATAACAACGCTGATAATAAATAGTTCAACAATGGTAGATCGATGATCTAGATGATAGAGTGTTGAATTTATTGTATGTATAAAAGACAATTTGAGGGTTTACCGAACCTCATCAGCTTATTATTTGTACAGTGTGTCTCAAAAAAATTGTTATCCTTACAAAAAGTTCAACATCTTTCATGATTTTGACTTTTCCCCCATCGAATAAATCCACACCATCAGATTCAAAATCCGTCCAAGATTGACTGCACAGGACAGATTTTATAGACGCATGTGAAATCTGATTTGCGCCAAATTCTCAGTGGTTGGACATGTGGTGATCAATTATTTTTTGGTGTGAATGCTGTGGACAGCGATATCTTGATATGATCAATGATCCAGTTGTTTTTTTCCTGAATAGAAATACAAGATTTCATTGTCAGAGTGTTCAATTTTGTTACCTATGATGGCAACAGGATGGTGCAAAGGCCTTTGGCGGATCGTTTGGTAGAACTCTTTGGAAATCAGGAGATAGCATTGAATTTCCCAATAGATGAAGGAAACTGAGAGAAGGCTGTGATATCTCACGATGCATTTTTTGAGACACACTGTATACTCTAACGACTATAGTTTGATACGGGGTATTGGTCGGCAAAAGATGTTGCCATTGCTACATCGTAGGTTCCGCCAGATTTCGAACCAAGGACCTTCTGCGTGTTAGGCAGACGTGATAACCACTACACTACGGAACAGGAGAGTGTACGGAACAGGAGAGTGTACGTCAGTTACATAAAGAATATTTTTTGTCACGCAGAGAAGTAAAAGATGCTTTGTGAGAAAATAGGCGTGGCAATATTAAGTAGTATTGTAACTACATAGTACTATTAAGATGATTAGAAGACCTGACATTATTTTTGCTTTAATGTTCAATTAAGTAGATAGGTTGGGAGCTATAGAAAGCTTGACTTGGAAGACAACAAATGAGGACACTGATCGATGCAGCAACAACAAATGACGTCCGTCCGTTTGTCCAGGCAACTCAAATACCGGTTTCCGGATTTGATTCAAATTTTATAGGATTATTTCACATAGGAGTAGAACCTCTGCTCGAGAAGGAATTTTCAATATGACCGCTTAATTCAAAATGGCCACCGTTTTTCGTAAAAGTATAATCTTTGATAACTCAAATACTAGTTGATGGTTTTGGTTCAAATTTTATATGCTGATGTCTAGGGACAAAGGAGCTAGGCTGAAGAAGAGCTTTTCAAAATGACAGCTTAATATCAAAATGGCGGCCATTTTTCGTAAAAACGTAATATTGGATTACTCAAATACCAGCGAATGGATTTGGTTCAAATTTTATAAGATGATGGCTAATGACAAATTATATTTGTTCAAGAAATATTTTTCAAGATGGCGGCTGAATTTCAAAATGGCTGCCATTTTTCGTATAAAAAGGAATGTGATCTTTGATAACTCAAATGCTTATTTACGGATATGGTTTACATTTTATATGTTGATACCCAGGTACAAACAATCTCTGCTCAAGAAGGAATATATTTTTTGTTCGTTGGGATTTGCTATGCCAGGAGGTGGTTACCAGTTTCACCACCAGGTGGCTAATTTGGGTCAGATAAATTGGTAGATATATTGATAAGTTCCTTTAAACTTGAATATTCATCAGTTCTGGTGGATCGATTTTCATTTTCCCTCATGTATCTGTACTACAAATGAAAATATGTCCAGTAAAACAAAATATCTGTCTAATGAAAGACATATATCTAACTTCTTATGATTTTTCAACGTGGGGTCTCTGGGTAATTTCCCTGACCTAGAAGTCATAATTTCAAAAGAAAAATTAAATTTTCCAAATTGATAAACAATTTTTGAAATCACATTCCTTGATGTAATTTTACTTGTAGCTATCAAATCTGATATCAATTTTACTGAATTTTAAATATTTAATGATACAAAACATCATTACCTCTATTCGCATCTAGTCTATTGATTGACGATTAACATCAATCCTCTCTATACAGGTATTTAACGAAAAAACAAAAGTATTTTCTCCAAGGAGTACATAATACTCATGACCTGAACTTTGACTTGAAAGAGTGTTAAACAAGATAACTTTAAATGCGATATCACGATGTTGTTATAATGTTTGAAAAATAGGTCGACTTTAATTCTATGCAGCCGTTTACCATTTTAGTGAGAAATGGCATATACACTAAGCCGGAGGGAGATGGAGATAGTCCTGGAAAAATTGAATCAGCCAACGGATGAGTTCCTCGGGATTCAGGTAAGTAAAATTGAAATGTTCATTCATTATTAAGCTTTCAACCACAGGATGTCCAAAAGCAGGAGCAAAGTAAAGGCCATTCACTCGGCCTTGAAATTTCAGAATTATAAGTTGATCCGATATTAATTTTGTTATTAAAGTTTGATGATAACCTATACTACCAATTGAGTCAAAATCTACAATACGTTACATAACATGCTCCAAGTGGGCACCTCTCCTCTCTATACGCAATTAGCTGAAAAGCCAACGGATGAGCACCTTAGGATTCAGATAAACGTAGACGTAGAATATCATGATTAACTGATTTAAAACTTATTCTTGAAGGATCATATTTTCAGATGGTATGCTTGTTAAAGAATTGTTTACAGGAGGTAGTGACGGACTATGCATTCATCGTGGACGAGTTTCCAAACTTCAACATAATCATCGGTCGACCAAAGGATCTAACTTCGGTAAGCCATGTTGTTACATTTTTGTCAACATAACTTGCAATAATAGTTTTAAGTGTGACATGTCACAGTGGAGATCGTATGAAACTCCGCAATCTGAAAATTAGTTCTTTCATCCCCTGTGGACACACGATCAAGTGGTAGTAAAAAACTACGTCATTCTTTGTCGCTTTAGGCGACCATACGTCATCTCTCTAAAGGCCGTACGGCAACTGCTGGTTTCAAAATATCAAAATACATGCCGTTCGGTTCGGCTGGTGTAGATGCCCCGTTATAATCTGATAATCCACAACTGTTAATGTTTTGAGAGCTCCTCTGAAACATGGCCCGGTCACTGGTGCCCCATGTTCTACATACTCGGTGAAGGCAAGAATGACACCTTGTTTAGAAAAATGATGTCGAATAACGATGTCGTTGATTGGACCCGGAATAAAGAAAAATATTTGTTTATGTATGGTAGGTCACGTCTTCTAAACTCTCCATAGTTCATCATTCAGGTATATAGCGTATTTTGATAACGATTTCAATGGGGAAAACTCATGGCTGAAACTTTCGGGATACCTTCAGAAAGCCAAAAGACTCATTACCTGCGATTAGACCACATGTTAGAACCTGTTTGTAATGAACAATTTTGAAAAATAAATTTCAAACATAGACTGGCTTAAACATGCTCTTAGATAATGTGAAGTCAAACGGGGAATGTAATTTAAATCATATTTACAATAATGATGTTTTGATTCCTTAGTCAGTATTATGAACTGTCGTTTTCATTTCAACATAAAATCAAAGACATTTGGGGGTTGTCACGAAAATTGAGACTGACTTGTTTTCAAAGATGCACCCAAGGCAATAAACCAAGATTAAGGCAATATAATTATTATACTATTAGTTGTAATACAATTATATAATGTTATACTAGGAGTAACTACACAAAAAGCTGTAATCGATGAGGTCGCTCGGATGTATGGGTGGCTTCCTTGGGGTGACCCTCTTGAAGTTAAAGCTTTCTCAATACAAAAGGATGACATAAACGAAGCCTTAATGTTAGTATCACAACTCAAATTCAGTTTTTCAGTCATTGATACCGGAATTTTTACGCCATCTTGAGGTCCAATCCCTGGCATATTTCTTCTCGTAATAACGCTCATTAACAATGTTTGAAATAATTTTCTAATTAGCTCTCATTCCAATGAGTGATACTGCATGTTAAATATTATATATTTTCCTTTCAAGAGAGGTACCCTCTATGAAGCAGTTAACTTGTTCAACACTACGCCTTGATGAAGCTGTTCTAGTTCAGCGACGCTGGCAGCATATCTATGCAGATGACCCCAACGTAAAGAGAGGAATAGAGTTCTGTATTAAAAACTTTCCAAATATATGTCTAAGGAATGATAAAGATGAAGTTATTGCGCATATGTTGACTGCATTCAATGGTGAGATGCTGATGTTAAATGTTACAGAATCCCATAGACGTCAAGGACTTGGTACAGCTGTACAGTTATTGCTGTGTAGAAAAATATACGAGCAAAATGGACGTCCGTTTTGGTTAGTCTTGGCTAATAATGGGCAGGCTTTACAAATGAATGCAAAAATGGGTGCTAAACCGTTAGATTTTGGCAGGATACTATACGGATCTAGATATGAATACATTAACTAAATGTTCTAAATTGTGATCGATGACACTCACTACATTAAAATAGATTTATCCAAAATATTACACTCAATGATAAAATGTGAAACAACAGTAAATAAGTTAGTAAATACAAATAAAAAACAACATATCTATAAGTAGGTATCACTTAACTCACGAACCTCCACAACTAAAAGTTTAATTTGACTCATTGTGTTTCCTTATTTCAAAGAATGATTGTCTAATTTGGTTCTCCATGTGATTGTCTCGTCGTCTTTAACTTACAACATATCACTTTTATTTGTCCTAGGATGAAGATCTTCCTAGGATTATTCAAATGTGTTTTCTTTATATCACTGTTATTGTCTCATTTGGTTTTCTATTTATATGCTTATCTCAAATAACACAGCATGAACTTGTGAATATTAGCTACAGTTATACAGTATAGCTAAAGTTTTAAGGTATACCTGTACCACATTCATACATGTATGCTATTAAAAAGAAGGAAATATAAGTCATTAAAGGTTAATGTGCAAATATCTTAAAATCTCAGGAAAACAAGAAGTGGCGAGATTTCAAAGCTATATAGAAGCTCCTCTATTAAAGTCTCTACTATCATGTCCATCCGTGGATGAAAATCATATAAATCATAGGACATCCTCTATTTACAGCTATTGAACGAAAAAAGTAGTTTCTTTAAGGACAACATAATCGCGATTTGGACTTTGACACGAAAGAGCGTCGAACAAAACAACTTTATGCGATATCACGATGTTGCGTTATAGTGTTTGTAAATTAGATCAACTTTCTATGTAGACATACGTACTGTCATTTGAAAAATGGCATATACACTGAACCGAATGGAGATGGAAATTGCTCTGGATATGTTGAGTCAACCAAAGGATGAGTACCTTAGGATTCGGGTTAGTATAGCCACATAAATTCTGATTAGTACCTTAGGATTCGGGTTAGTAGCCATATAAATTCTGATTTAGTCCCCGATCTGATTTCCAAAAAGGCTCTAGAAAATGGGTTTTGTTGTCCGGTACTTTCCCACATAAAATGATTGTACCGTTTGAAAGAACAGACTTCCCTCTTAAAGAAAACACCTCTTCTATTGATGTAAACAGGGGCAAAAGGCACCAAAACGGGGTTAGACAAGGTGGCATTCTGAAGTCTCACTTTCTTGTCATCACGATTCCAGGTAAACCATTAGACGGATTTACTTCAAATTTTCACACATGTTACATGGTAAGAAGTTCTAGAGCTGATTAACTTTGCGGCGGCCATCTTGCATTCTGGCAGCCATCTTGGAATTTTTTTCAGATAAATATTGTCATCGGGATTCCAAAAAAAACTCATAACAGATGTACTTCAAATGTTCACACATGTAACATGGTAAAAAGTCCTAGACCTCATTATTTTTTCGGTGGCCATCTTGCATTCTGGCAGCCATCTTGGAAGTTTAAAGATAAATCTTGTCATCACGATTTCAGGAAAACCAAACGGATTTACTTCAAATTTTCACACATATTACATGGTAAGAAGTTCTAGAGCTAATTAACCTTTTGGTGGCCATCTTGCATTCTGGCGGCCATCTTGGAAGTTTTTTGGATAAAACTTGTCATTGTGATTCCAGGAAAACCACTTTACTGATTTTCTTGAAACTTTTACACATGTTACAAGGAAGGTTACATGCTACCTTTTATATTGATATAAACAGGGGCAAAAGGCAGTAAAGTGGGGTTACACAAGGTGGTATTCTAAGGAGAATGTTTTTTTTCTGTATTTAAAACCACATAATTTGACACAAATGCATATTTGGTGTCATGTTTTATATTGATAGAAACATGGGCAAGAGGCGCTACGATGGGGTAACACATGGTGATATTCTAAAATACATATTTTTACTCTGCTTCTGTACTTTATACCACTTAAATGCATTTTGTGTATGACATTGATTGATTTTTAGAATAAATAACTACATTTCATCAAAAAGAAAAAAGATTATTGAAAACGTCAAACATTTCTTTGAAATCCATTATTGCACAGTGATTTTTGAGAGCGAATGTATGCTAAATTGGCCTTGATCTGAGTATATAACAGAATTAAAGCTCTTTTAAACGAAAATGTAAATGTGTGGAAAACCTTTCACTGTGCATCATGTCAACGAAATGTTCTTCATGCAGTTGAATTATCTTCTAGACAGGTTATCACACAGAAGGAGAGACCTGCGTATCATATCCTTACTAAATATAAACAAAAATGACAAATGAGAAAGGAAAAAAGTGTAAAGCAACCTAGTGGGAAAAGCAAACTGTAAAGTGTAAAACTGGCAAACAAAAATCAAACCTGAATATCCCAAGACAACAATAATGACAACACATGTGCTCTTTGCGTTTAATAATCAACAAAGATCACTTAAACCTGCACTAAAACTGTGTGTCAGATCGATATAAGTATAGGGTTTGGAAACTAATTGTACCAACAAAAAGAACTTAAAAAACACTGCTTCAATATCAACATAAGCTTTCAATAGTTGTGACGATGCAGAAACATGTAAAATGTCACCACACCTTGTTAAGTATACAGTACACATTAACTACTGAACAGTGTCAAGATAAACGTTGGAAGCTATTACAATATGTCACCCAATCACTAGTGGTGGTGACATAAAAATAATGTATAGAAAAATCTACTGAACCAAAATAAACTTTGTGATAGAAGAACTGATTGTTTAATCTAAGTTTTCAACTAAATATATTTCTAATAAGCAATGTTTTATCGAAAAGAAAAAATAATTTCATGTTATATAAAATCAAATAAATTAATTATATTTTCTTTCGTTGTGTTAGTTACACCAGTAATAATAAACCTGTTTATAAAGTGGTGGTAACTAGACTATATAATTTAACAGTCATAAAAGTAATAATAAACCTGCAGTGATCTCCCCATGTCACTTTTACCAGGGGCTCCCCCTACTTGAAACCAAAGGCCCCCCAGTTGGCACCCAGTTGGAATCTGCACTTCAACTTCTGATTTGAAAAATGAGTGAAGTAAGCACCTACACTGGGATATTGTGAGCGTAGCAAGTGCTGATTTTTTCAGACTTGAAATCTTGCACCCAGTTGAAAACTTTTTTGGGGAGAACACTGACCTGTTTATAAAGTGGTCTTAACAAGACTATAGGATTTAACAGTCATAAAACCTAAAAAAATATACCAGGAAGGGACCATTGTGAATGTAAATGTATAAAGCACGGATGCCATAGGAAACGGAACAAAAGTTATAACAGAACCTAGCATGGAGAAAGTGTAACTGGTAAATTGTAATAAAAATAGTATAGATCATGATCTAACATGACATAGTACACCCTTGGTATACGCAGCTAACGAAAATTGACCGGTACGGGTCTAAAGCTGGACCGGTACGGGTTAACGGTTTTATTTGAATTTAAAACAGCCATAACTTGCTCAATATTGACTTCCTCGTGTCTAATTTGAAATATATGATGCCTCCCGATGCTTTTAAGTACCCCAATTTTTTACAGATTTTTAAACATACCAAAACTCTCTAAATGCGCATTTATGCTCTTTTCTCTCGAGAATGACTGTCTCATTTTCACGATAACTTTTATTTAGTACTTCTTACATAAAAGATCTATTTTTCCCCATCAAGGTATGATGTAAATGACATGCTATTTACATCTTGTGAGTTTCAATGACGCGCGTTTAATTTTATAAAAAATGCCAAACTTTGTGACAAAGAATTTCATCAGCTATTGCCCCGAACCGGTCCGTCTTCTCGCTGCAAGCAGATTGCCCCGAACCGGTCCGTCTTCTCGCTGCAAGCAGATTGCCCCGAACCGGTCCGTCTTCTCGCTGCAAGCAGGATGAAATTCTTTGTCACAAAGTTTGGCATTTTTTATAAAATCAAACTCGCGTCATTGAAACTCACAAGATGTAAATAGCATGTCATTTACATCATACCTTGATGGGGAAAAATAGATCTTATATGTAAGAAGTACTAAATAAAAGTTATCATGAAAATGAGACAGTCGTTCTCGAGAGAAAAGAGCATAAATGCGCATTTAGAGAGTTTTGGTCCGTTTAAAAATCTGTAAAAAATTGGGGTACTTAAAAGCATCGGGAGGCACCATATATTTCAAATTAGAGACGAGGAAGTCAATATTGAGCAAGTTATGGCTATTTTAAATTCAAATAAAACTGTTAACCCGTACCGGTCCAGCTTTTAACCCGTACCGGTCAATTTTCGTTAGCTGCGTATACCAAGGGTGTAGTATGCCTTACAACTCATCCTCCCTAACATTATTAAAGACTACTAAAGTATATTATAGTGATCCACTCGATTATGCTGGTTACCTAAACAGTTTGTTTCGGTAACAAAATGTGGCAACATCGAAGGTATGATTTTTCCTTTTTCCTTTCACACTTTGTAGGCAGAATTCCCACGACATTTTTCTCACAAACGTGTATCAGTATCATATGTTTAAGAAAATGTGCATATTTGCAAACAAATAGTTCAGAAGACAACATAATTGTATATTTAATTCCTCACTTAAGTTACATAAACGGTATTTCGAAAAAACAGTTCAGATCTGCACTTTTAACCCAAACCTTTATGTAACTTAAGTTAGGAATTAAATCAACGATTCTGTCGTCTTCTGAGCTATTTCTCGCAAACATGTACATTTTCTAAGACATATGATACTGATTCCCGTTTGTGAGAAAAAACGTCGAGAGGATTCTGCCTACAACGCATGAAATAAGGAATAAGGACAAATCGTACCTGTAATCGAGCGGATCACCAGTGTATATACAGGGTGAGATAATTCATATTATGTCATCAACTTTGACAAGTTGGTTCATCCAGTTGTCAGGTAAGAGATTTTCAGGTAATTCATTTTCTTCCTGATCTTCAACGTTTGGTGTAATGGTGTCATCAACTGGTTCAAATTCATTGTCGCTCTCATCAACATCATCGTGCTGATGGGTAGGACAGTTCTCACACACACCTTTGCGGCACTTACATGAACTTCCACAAATGAGATCCTGTTTCTTACAACTACATCTCATTGAGTCACACGCTCTTTTACAACTACAAGCAACAAGCTCCATTATTTCTTGTGGGGCAGGACCGTTTTCCATCCACTTAATTTGTAGTTTATTCCCTTTGAATGTCCAAGCATGTAATGTGGGGGATTGATAATCAATCCTTGATTTGCCTGCGTTTCGCCAAATATAGGCCTGATAGTTGGCTCTATTTATATGGAGAATGAGAGCATCCTTTGTTGGTGGTAAATGCTTTGACTGTATTTTATATTTATCTACAAACTTCCTAGATGGCCGCCAGAATGCAAGATGGCTATCGGAAAGTTAATTAGCTCTATAACTTCTTACCATGTAACATGTGTGAAAATTTGAAGTCAAACTGTTACATGGTTTTCATGGAATCGTGATGACAAGATTTATCTAAAAACTTCCAAGATGGCCGCCACAATGCAAGATGGCTGCCGAAAAGTTATTCGACTCTATATTTTCTTACCATGTAACATGTGTGGAAATTTGAAGTAAATCCGTTTGGATTTCCTGAAATCGTGATGACAAGATTTATCTTAAAACTTCCATGATGGCTGCCAGAATGCAAGATGGCCACCGAAAAAATAATGAGGTCTAGGACTTTTTACCATGTAACATGTGTGAACATTTGAAGTACATCTGTTATGTGGTTTTTGTGGAATCGCGATAACAATATTTATCTGAGAAAAATTCCAAGATGGCCGCCAGAATGCAAGATGGCTGCCGCAAAGTTAATCAGCTCTAGAACTTCTTACCATGTAACATGTGTGAAAACTTGAAGTAAATCCGTCTGATGGTTTACCTGGAATCCTGATGACAAGAAAGTGAGACTTCAGAATGCCACCTTGTCTAACCCCGTTTTGGTGCCTTTTGCCGCTGTTTACATCAATAGAAGAGGTGTTTTCTTTAAGAGGGAAGTCTGTTCTTTCAAACGGTACAATCATTTTATGTGGGAAAGTACCGGACAGCAAAACTTTTTTTCAGAGGGTCCAGATCAGGGACTAATTCTGTAATTCAAAGCATTTGCCAATACAAGTGAGCTCTTTGTATATTTATTCATGTAACATATTTTTAGAAATGGTCACTCATGGTTCATTAACTAATGAATTAATAAGAATATTATCAATTAACTAATTCAAAACTTAATCTTGAAGGATTATATTTTCAGATGGTATGTTTGTTGAAAAATTGTTTACAGGAGGTAGTGACGGACTATGCATTCATCGTGGATGAGTTTCCAAACTTCAACATAATTATCGGTCGACCAAAGGATCTAAATTCGGTAAGACATGTTGTTAAATCTTTACTCAACATGGCTTGCTATGAAGAGTAATATGTCACAGTGGAAATCGTATGAAACTGCAAAGAGGCATAACTGTGTCACTTGCCAACGAAGAACGCACGTAAACCGCCCCCCCTTTTTTATCACATCATTCTAGTTCTCGGCCAGCCTTGCTGTGGTAGGAAAATATGTCTTAGATAATTAGCTGCTTCTTTCATGAACATTTCGGTGTGCAAACGTACATCAATTGATAGCCGATTGTACAAAATATCGATGGATTGCGGTATTTGCGTTGATGTCCCGTTATAATGCACACATATTAATGTTTGTAGTGCTCCTCTGAAACATGGCCGTGTTATTGGAGTCCCATGTTCTACATACTAAGAGAAGACAAGAATGATGCTTTGTTCAGAAAGATGATGTTGAATAATGATGTCATTGATTGGACCCGTAATAAAAGGAAATCTTTGTTTATATATGGTATGTCACTCCAACTCTACATAGACTCTCCACATTTGCTTCTGTGGGGAATTCGAAAAGGGTTCAAACCCAATGTCAGCTAGAAGATCAATACTTGCAGGTACCTTTAGGGAACCAAATGACTTACGGCGATTAGACCACATGTCAGAATTATATTGAACAATTGAGAAATTTAAATAAATTTCAAACAGATTGACTTGAATTTCGAACATACAATGGGAAGTCAAACTTTTGTCGCGGAGTGTGATTAATATTATACATTCTACAATAATCATTTTGCGATTTCTTAGTCACGCAGTATGATATTATTAACTAACGTTTTCATATCAACATTGTTAAAATCAGAGATTTATTGGATTTTCACGAAAATTGAGGCAGTTTTTGAGAAATGCGTCCAATGCAATAGATCAAAATCAGGGGATTTTAAAGTGTGCGCCTGACCCGGCTACGTATAGCACAGAGTTTATACTGGCGGATTAGACTAGTTCATTTTTTATATGTGTGTGAAAGCTTTCTCTTATTTGCGTTTTTTCGTTTAGTACGGTTCTGTTATAATTGCCGAGGTCATATAACCGGGATAAGACAATGATTATCGTTGACTGCCCACACACAATACATACGTTGAGTGAACAGTGTTATTACAAACAACAGGCTTTAGAACCACTACCACTGCTGCATGTACATATTACTAATTTACTAGGGCTCCCAAAGAGTGGATAGGGAGGTTGTGTTTGTCACTTTTAAATTTTACATTTCAAAATTGTCATTTTACATGTCATAATTTGTTGGTTTCATTCGTTTAGCCAATCAAAAATTGTAAAACAATAAATTGTCTGTTACGTACAATCAATTTTGTTCAGTTTTGATTGGTTGTCAGAATAAAGTTACGTTCATCTGAATCAATGTATCAAAACAAAAATCCTATTTTCACTTCAAAATACTTCAGTGAGATGAAGGCTCGAAATTGTCACATGCAATAACTTATTGTCGTATTCGTTATTTTATCTTCTCGATAGTAGCATTTAGTCGCACATTTGATGCCAGGTCACCTTGTCGCGTACCTCTTGGGGAACCCCACATTTATGTGTGTACTCATGGAAGTAAATTCCCCGGTGTAGCCGAGAGCCACAAACTTTTCAACAGGTTCGAAATGACCAATTTCTCTCATATATACTCTATATATTTAATTATTTAGCACCTACAAAGTATTGCTAATAACCATATGTAATTTCAATAAGGAAACTTATCTGGCTACATATAAATTCAATATCAACATTAGCTGTTCTCTCAACACGTCCTGGCTTACCTTGTGGTGACAAACCCTGGATTTTCGCTATTTATAGTTTATCAACACCTGGACGCATGCGCATTTTATAGTTAATCGGGCACTTTAAGGTTATTGTTGCAACACAAGTTGTAGTACAGTCATGTAATGTTATACTAGGAGTATCTGGAACACAAAAGGCTGTATTCGATGAGGTTGCTGCAATATATGGATGGCTTCCTAGGGGTGGACATCTAGAAGGAAAGGCGTTCTCAATAAAAAATGATGACATACACAAAGCCTTAATGTAAGTATTAGGGCTACTTATACTCAAATACTTTAGTCACATACATGTATATACTGGAAACTTTTGAAACGCCATCTTGGGAATATCGCCTAATCTCAAACACATTTTCTTGGTTCTATGGTGTTTTTTAAAATAACCAATTGAACAATGAAATAACCTTTTAAGGTAACTTATAACTTAATCAAAAAATCCAAGATGGCCGAAACCAGGAAGCACATGGCATTTGAGTATAATCTGACCATCAAAATTAACTGTCTTTTGGTTGGATTTTCTCTCAATTTTTTAGTTCCACTTATCATTTATATAACCAGGCTCACTGTGGTAATGCAAATAGAAACAGTAAACATTTTGGAATGGGGATTTGAGTCCTCTGAAAATGTGACAGAAAAATTGACAAAAAGAGTAGCACGGCAAAGGTCCCTGAACATTTTTTTTCTAATTTCTCTGAAATATCCCTTTAATATAGCCCAAAATGGAAGGAGCTTTAGAATTCTGAAATCTCTCATACAAATTAAAAAAATAGAAAAAAAAAATTTGAGAAGTGTATTTTTTCCTTATTTTGATCCCAATTTTTTATCGGGTAATTTTTCAAATTTCCGTTGCTCCTTCGTTTTTGATATATGTTTGAAGTATATTTTCTGAAATGTTCAGATATTTTGAATCAGCGGTTTTTCACGGGCTACTCCTAGAAAAAAATCTTCTCAAATTGTTTAAACGGCACTTTTTTCTCAAACTAAAGTTTTTTGTTGTTCTTTGATGTCTTTGTAATGATTACAGTGCACAAGCATATGTGAAGTAATAAAAACGACTTCTCAGGAAGAGTTTGAAAATTTCAAGATTGTGAAATTTTCAATTTTTCTGAAAATCGATTAAGTTAACAGTCACCTTAAAATAATTAAAATAATCTCTCTAAATAGTGACACTGTATGTTAAATATTAAATATTTTGCATTTAAGAGAGGTACCCTCTATGAAGCAGTTAACTTGTTCAACACTACGCCTTGATGAAGCTGTTCTAGTTCAGCGACGCTGGCAGCATATCCTTGCAGATGATCCGAACGTCACAACAGGAATAGAGTTCTGCATTAAAAACTTTCCAAATATATGTCTGAGGAATGATAAGGGTGAAGTCATAGGGCATATGTTGACTTTATACAATGGTGAGATGCTGATGCTAAATGTGACCGAATTCCATAGACGTCAAGGACTTGGTACAGCTGTGCAGTTATTGCTGTGTAGAAAAATATACGAGCAAAATAGACGTCCGGTCTGGACAGTGTTAGCAAATAATGAGCCGTCTTTACAGATGAATGCAAAAATGGGTGCTCAACTCTTAGATAATGGGAAGATAATGTACGGATCTAGATATAAATACATTAACTAAATATTCTACATTGCGATGGTTGACACTCCCCAAAATTGATTAGTTAATTTATTGGGGGAAAATGATGTTATTTATCTTTTGCTGATATGCAATTATCTTGCATATAAATGTGCCCCAGGCATACATGTAACGCCTTGGTCACATATGCTCCGATCCATCGGCCGGCGCCCGACCGTTTGAGTGTTTTGTTCAATATTGTTTTCAATTTTGAACAAAATACTCAATCGGCCGGGCGCCGTAGTGAAAATCGGACCAAATGTGACCAAGGCATTAGTCTATCATTAAAGAGAGATTAAGATACAGCTAGCAAGGTCAAGAGATTGTTTGAATTTTAAATTATTTATGGCCCATGTCATTCCGAGTCATGGAATCGATCCGAAAGTCAAAAGTTTCTTGCAATCTCAATGTGGTCCCAAAGGATCTGATTCTGCCCGTAAATAAGCGGTTAATATAAAAAATCGTCCCCGGGTGGGCTTGAACCACCAACCTTACGGTTAACAGCCGAACGCGCTAACCAATTGCGCCACAGCATGACACAGCTGATGACAATAAATATACTCAAATATCTTTATCGATGATCTTGCGGTAATCAAGTTATGAATTTATGTATAGACATAGACAAACGGAATTTTATTGAGGGTTTATCGAAGCAACATAATAGAATAAACTGTTTTTTAAATTGAGAATGACTCCATTTTTACTGGTCAAACTGCTTTTATAGCAGAGGCTCTGTCTTTAACGATTTCATTCAGCGCTCTTTCATGCTATTACATGTAAGTGAATCATTTAATAGGTCTACGTTGAGGTCTTCAGTATCGTTACCTTCGTTTTGTACTTATGTGACTTGTATTTCCATGTTCATAATACCATGCTGTACTTTTTGCAATGAACGAAAGTGGCAAGCTCACTTCCTTATAATTTGATATCGCTGTTCTGTTGCATCGAGCAAAGCAAAGAAATCAACATAAAGTCAGAGACATTAAAACCTCAACCATCAAAAGTTGTCACAATGAGCTAAGTTTCGTGTCTCAACTCTCCCAAGCGGTAGAAAAAAAATTCCCGTTCATTTTAAGTAGCACAGTAAATGAATCCAAAGCTTCATACCTGCAAATGATCGATGAATTCCTACCAAATCGAACGGATGTTTTCATGAATCGCCATGTTGTTATAGCGTCATAACTGCTTCATTATTAGTTTGGAAGAAATTCTCTAGAACCAATATTAATGTAACATTTACAAATAAAATTCCAAAATTACAAATACAAATATGATGTATCAAATAAACAAATATATACTAAATTCGGGTGCATTTTATGTTTGTAAAGACTAGCTAACAATTTATTATCCGCTAACTACAGCTTACAATTCGTAAATTTCCCAAAAATTGCCTGTTATTTTATCGAAGAGGTGTATTTTTACCAATAATAATCTTGCATATTACCCATGAATTATTGCAGAAAGCATTTAAGGAATATTCGTACATTAGCAAATGATAAAATAGAACTTTACGAATATAAATGTGAGTTTACGAATACAAATGTGAATTAACGAATATAAAAACTGCAAGTCTCGAGGCATAGGTCACGTGACATGAGAGTTTTAGATGTGTGTGGGGGAGGGGGCGATGACTTTGACCATGGGTTGACCATGTCTCGTTGAAAATGATCACGTGATCTTAATAAACCAATGAAAAACGAATATAAAGTGCAATTTACGAATACAAATGACAATATTTACGAACAATAAATGTGCACTTTTACGAAAACATATTACCTTTTACGAAAATAAATTCGACAATTAAAAAATAAAAATGCCAAGGCTAGTACTTATTCATTGAAAAATTCGACATTCAGTTCGTAGATATCAAATTAATATATTTACAGAAACAATGATAAAGGTACAAAATGAACTCATTTAATTTGTATACGGATATACAATGTGTCACTAACAAATGCGTTTAAGGAGTTTTGGATGAATTTCAGTATAAAACACATACGTACATATACGTTTTAACGAAACAAATTAGATTAACGGACAGAAAAGGCAAACGATGAATGAAAATACTCAAGTTACGAGCATAAATGCGCATTTAACAAGAACAGAAGTTCAATTTACAAATATCCAAAGAGGATTGACACCCAGGATGCAACAACAGTTTACATTATTTAGTCGTGACAGGTTTCAAAATGGCGGAACTGCATTTTGAAAGCTGGCACGTGTCATGTTGCATTCTGGGAGTCAATCCTCCTTGCGGCATAATCGGGCTCCAAAATCACCTCAACATTTGAAGAGTCGGTATTTATATGTGAATGTCCACTTCAATTTTTAAGTTCCTATTTGTCATTATGGACACAAATTCCACTATATTTGGACTTACTAGGACGGGGAAAATAGAGCACCGAATACACTGAGGTAAGAATATATTACATGTGCGACAGCATGTATTTTTCATAGCTATAGTAATTCTTTATGTTCCCAACTGTATATCAATAGTTTTGAATATTTAGTCCTTTTTCGTAAATCAAATATCAAATATTTGATATTTGTGAAAATGAGCCCCCCAAAGCTCAAATGTGAAAGGGAAGGCACTCAGCCCACCCCGATTAAATGTGAAATGGAAGTGAAAAAAGATACAAAAAGTTTTTTCTGGTCATACCTGAGATTATCATGATATGATTATGTGAGTCTCAGGTCATACCCAGGCCTTTGGAAGGCACTCAGCCCACCCCGATTCGCCAATGAATCGGAGATACTTAAACATAGAACAAAAAATAGGGGATAATAGGGGTAATAAATCTTGAAAGTCACAATGGAAATTTTCGGCCAACGTTTTCATTATTTAGGCCCTTCTTCTTAAAGGTGCAGCAATTAGTTTAGAGGAGCCATTAGACGAACATGGATCAGTGTTAAAATTTTACAAGATACCGATAAAAACAAGTTAATAATGAAAAGCACATTTTAATTCAAAAATCGCGTTAATTTATAAATACAAGCACAAATGGACACAAATTCAAACCAAACAAAATATCAATTATTTTATCAGAAAAGCAAAATGGGCTTGAACCACCAACCTTTCGGTTAACAGCCGAACGCGCTAACCAATTGCGCCACGGAGACGGACTGATTACAATAGTAAAAAGGACGCGGAAATGCTGGTAGTGAAAAGCCTGATTTATTCTCATTTAAATGGTACCAAGTTCATTATGTAACTGGCATGTATGACTGAGTAATCCTGACCATTATCACGGTGTTATAGCATGACGGTTACGACAAGGCGAGTTGCAAAATTTTGCGGTAACGGTAACAAAAAATGGCGGATGGGAAAGACAGCATGTCCTCTTTCTGCCTGTAGGCAAGATTCACAGATAAGATTTCCTTTTTAACTAGTTCCATTCGGAGACGTATGTATGGATGGTTATAAAGACTGGGTCAAATCTGCCAGGTGGTTTACTAGAAGCGGAATATAAGCTGTAAACTTACCGACTGAGATGTCCAAGTTCATATTTTTTAGTCCATTCTCGTGATTTCTCAGTATATGTGCCTTAGAGCCACTCAAACTATTAACAGTAAGTAAACTGTGTATAAACAAGCCATAAAAGGACAAATCCAGAACAGGAACGTGGTCATATTGTAAAGAATAAGATTTCAAACGCAATGTCTTTAGACGACTACGTATGAATTCTATGGACGGTAACGTATTGTATAAGATGCACATTAGATATTTAGCGGACGGTTACGTGCATGTACATCTTTCAAGTTAAGGTTACTAGTTCTGATAGCCTCTTTCCATGTAATTGCTATAATGGGTAAGAAATGGAATTTTGAATTGCTTATATTTGTGTTCAGGACTCGCAAGAGACGCTCTTGTTTGAAAAAATTGTGCCTTTTTTATTTATGAAACCAATTTAAGTCAAAAAGGTGAATGAGGCAAGAGAATAATTAGCATCAAGTACTGATGAATATGACAAAATTAATAACAATGAATATTTGAACGAGGTTCGCGTAACCGTCAATCAATTTTTGGCGTAACCGCAAATTAAAAATACAATATTATGGCTTAAGTAGAACATATTAGGTGGTTTCCAATGCTCAATTGGCTTTTTATGATCGTATGTAGGTTACATCTATATACCCCGAGGTCGTTAGGCAATGTAGACCATGCCCTAACGACAAAAACAAACAAATTACTAAATTTTGTGTAGTTTTGAATTTCAAACTCAACAGTTTTTCGCTTATTTCATGTTATCCCCGAGCATCAATTTGCAAATAATACGTTCAAAATATACATTACTAAATGCATCACTGATTGCGATGTCTACAAAAATCGTTCATCCTATCATTGATACACAGCAAAAGAAAATACTGCACTAAACTTCGTTTTCTGTTTCACCGCGGCCATTTTAATGGATAAATCAGTGATCGTAGTCGTCTTATCTCGTTTTCAGAGGTGTGTAACCGTCATGCTATAACATCGTGCATTATGAGAGGTGGTAAAATTAACACTTGTCATGTTACCTTCCTGTGTGGCAATTGATGTCTAATTGGCTTAGTATTCTTTTTCTGTTACATTAATTTAGAGGACAGGCATTCCATATTGAACTGGACTTGGGACTGGGCAACTCTCTTATGATAAAAGGTTTGGCAAACACCTCAACTTAATTACAATGTACTCTAAAATAGGCCTGCAAAAATGGTTCAACTGACACTTGAGGAGTAGAGCCAACAAACAGTTCTAAAAAGCAAGTCCCATGTACTGTATATAGAACACCTATTCTTACTTTTGAAATGGTTTCTAGCAATACTGTTTCACATGAATTTACTTGTTAAGACTCAATAGAGTTCTGAGTTCTGAGTTCTTCTCAGAAAATGAGGATTTCAGAAAGGTAACATGGGGATACAATTGACTTCAAAGCTGCATATCAGAAAGTATAGTGTAGAAGTTTCATTGCTGTTCAAGAGTCTTCGGATCCAATTTCTTGAGAGGGGGTACCAACTAAAAGTCATGAAAAAGTATGTAAAAGTGCGAAGAACATAAAACAAGTCTCAATTTGAACATTAATAATGTTTTGAACACAAAAATCATTCACTGTGTTATTCCTACTTGAATGTTAACTTGGCACTGTGTTGATTTTACCACCTTACATAAAAGTCATGATTGCTCAGTCATCCATGACAGTAATGTAAGGATCTAGATACAATTGGATGGAGGACAAACTAGGCCTTATACTATACTACCTTTGTATTTTTTAAACATACTCAGAAATTCTAGTAACCTGGCATTGAAGTTGGGTATATAGAACCCCTATTCTTAATATTGAAATGGTTTCTAGCAATACTGGCTCAGATGAATCTACTTGTTTGGACTCAATAAACCCGAGTTCTTCTGAGAGAATGAGGATTTCAGCAAGGGTTATTGACTACATGGGGATACAATTGACTTCAAAGCTGCATATCAGCAAGTAGAAGTTTCATTGCTGTTCAAGAGACCTTTGAATCTTTACTGTATATGACAACGATTCTAACAGTTAAAGAACACGATGACATATAAACAGTAAAATAAACAACATGTCCTCTTCTAGATAACCTACATGTATTTTTGTTAACGCTGTATCGCATACATTCACATATTTATACAGGACAGACTTAAAAGAAGTACTATGTATTCTTAAACATGTTTGTGATTTGATAATCCAGTACTATGTAGTTTTTTACAGACAGACTTTAAAGCAGTACTATGTAGTGTTTTACAGACAGACTTAAAAGCAGTACTATGTAGTGTTTTACAGTATACGTTTGGGTGTCAACATTTAATATACTGTCAAACTTTTCAGTCGCAGCGGATATATTTGGGAGAATCCTGGTACTTTGGTAAGTGAATAAGTCTTATCTAGTGAACAATGCATTTAGTATGAAGTGTATATCCTGCATTAAATATTCGCAGAAAATTTATTTTATTTAGAAAATAGGATTCTCTGTGCTTGGGCGACTCTTACCCCTACCTTAAAAGCTTAGATATGACACCATCTTTTAATGCTAAAGGTGTTTTCGAGGTCACAATTATTAAGTTATACAGTTCTACGAGCGTTTGAAATAAAACCTGGCCATCAAATATGATGTGTTCGTTTGTTAGTTTGTCGAAGCCACAACCCATCTGTTTTTGAGGGTTTTTATTATTGTCTCTAACTCACTACATGTGATGTTCGATGTTTCATGATGGACCACATACGTTTTGGGTTGGTTTCATCAGCAGTGTCAATTTCAGCGTATACGAATTCCACCTAAATGTCTTCTAATCTGTGCTGTTCCTTTCTAAACAGAGTTTTGGCTGATTTGAAATATCATGTCCATCCGTGCATGAAAATCATATATCTTTTTAATCACAGGACATTCTCTATATACAGGTATTCAACGAAAAAACACAAGTACAAGGTGGTCCAAAAAATGGGACACTCGTATTTCAAAAATAAATATTGATTTTATTTATGAAAATATGTCATATTACATACCAATGGATAGGGGATTAACTTATCTTTAATTTTGTATATCATAAGTTCAAATTTATTATATTGTCTGTCAACCAGCGTCCGTAATATAAATGACACCATTTTCGTTTCAAAACGGATTTTCCAAAACTTGCAAAAACACATTTTATTGTCAACTTCATTTACATAAACAGACGTTCAATATGCCCACCATCCTGATCAATTATAACCCTCAATTTTGGCCTAAACTGGTCAATAGCATCATTGATATGCTGTTGAGACAATGAAGATTCACAATTATTCTGTCCTTAAGGGACTGAGTAGATGTTAAGGATTCATGGTACACCAACTCTGTTAGTTCTCCCCATTTGTGGTAGTTGCAGATGTTGGGTGATCTGATCTGGAGGGGGGGGTGGTGTAGAGATTAAGGGGGGATAAGTCTAGTCACATATTCCTTTAAACAATTGACACTATTGTGGGATGTATGGATTGGAGCCCATCTTGTTGGAAAATGTAATGATTCGAAAATGAACTCATATCAGGATGGTCCAAAAACAATATAATTGGAGCATCCGATGTCAATGTCTGCGACTACCACATATTAGGAGAACTAACAGAATTAGTGTACCATGAGCCACTTACATCTATTCAGTCCCTTATTAAGGGTAGAATTGTTGAGAAAATGAATTAATTGTCTGAACAGCATATCAATAATGCTATTGACATTATAATAAATTTGAACGTATGACATACCACATTAAAGATGAATAAATTCCCTATCTAATCCACTGGTATATAATATGACGTGTTTCCAACAAGAAAATCAATATTTATTTTTGAAATACGAATGTCCCATGTTTTGGACCACCCTGTAGTTTATACAAGAAGGACATGATCATGACTTGGACTTTGACATCAATGCGCGTCGAACAAGATAACTTTATTTGCAATATCACGATGTTCAGATTCAGATTCAGATATTTATTACTATTTTGAAAATCATATATGACATTCAATACAACATGACGCTCTCAAGAGCATATATGTTGGTTTTAACTGGACAGAAATGGGTCAGTGACACCAACAGGTAAGACAAATAAAAATGGAGTGGAGAAATACCTGAGAATGACACTGGCCCAAGTCTGTTGGAAAAATATTAACACTCGGGGACAGAGACACAGGACACGAGAACGGGTAATTGCTGCTAAGTTTATAATATGTATATATATAAGGTGATAAGACAAAATGTGGCAGAGTACAGATTTTCAATAGTAAAGACATTTTCAAATCTTTAAAACTATAAAGGTATGTCATTTATTTTATTTTGTTTGAACAAAGACTTAAAAATTGAGAGTGAGGCTGCTTGTCGAATATGATGAGATATAGAATTCGAGATTTGCTGACCTTGAACTTTCAGTGAATAAAGGCCAATATTTGTTTTGAACTTGAAGGCATGGATATCATGTGAATGTCTAGTTTGATACCGATGAATGACAACATTTAACGTAAAATAGTTTTCAAAGTTTCCAGCTCCTGGTCATCCAGTATTTGTTTTATTATGCACCTCCCAATCAAAGATAAGTGGAGTACTTACTGGAGTACAGTATTTTGACATTTATTTATTTTTTCTTTCAAAACTCTGACGACTTCCGGCCAGTTTATTCGCTACACTGGACAAAAATATTTGCCCCGGGAATTTAATCTTTATTTATTCGAGACGTTCTTGCAGAATTATATGTAACTTTTGAATGATACGGGTAATTGTGATTGATTAAGTGCATTTTTTCTTCTATTTTCCGCCAGTTTCAGATGTAAGCTTTAAGTAGTACTCCAGTTATTAAGAAATAAATCTCTGAAGTGGGAATGTTGCAAAAACATTGAAAAAATATTAAAAAAATATCCAGCAGTTTTCAGAAAAGAGCAGAGTATTGCCAAATTACAAGCAACTAAGAACCAATCAGATTTGAGTATTTTAATGAGGTGCATAATAAATTGTTATACCAGCAATAAACAAAAATTCCAACATTTAATTGATAGATATCATGCATTGGAAGTATTCTAAATTGTTTGAATAGTGGAGCCGAGTGCAAGCCGAGTTTAGCAAGTATCTGCATTTGAATGAGATTCCAATGGTTCTAGATATTTTTCTTTCTACATTTTTTATGTGACTTTTCCAGTCAAGGAATTCATCAATTGTTACTCCCAAAAAATTTATTTCACGAACCCTATCAACTTGTTTTCCATTTATAAATATTTCAATTTGTTGACAAATCTTTTTTCGTTTTTTGGAGAAGACGATGAATTTTGTTTTTGAATAGTTTAAAGAAAGGAGGTTTGCTTTAAACCAGTCATCAAGAGAGTAATGAGTTCCTGATTAACAGTATTTACAAGTCTAGTTAAATTATGGTCAGAAGCTAGAAGATTAGTGTCATCTGCAAATAAAACAGATTTAAGACTTTGTGACGCCGTGAACAGGTCATTAACATAAATGATAAATAAAAGAGGTCCCAAAATTGATCCCTGAGGGACTCCCTGGGAAACAGTTTGGGTGTCAGACAGGGCCCCATCATTAGAACCAATTTGTTTCCGATTTTGAAGATAGCTTTTGAAAAGTTTTTGTTCAACTTGTCCGACACCATAGAAATCAAGTTTTTTATGAGAATATCATGGTTGATAGTGTCGAACGCTTTTGACAGGTCAAGGAAGATTCCAATGGAGTATTTATCATTTTCAAGAGCTGATCTTATATTTTCGACAAAGGTCAAAATTGCCATATATGTGGAGAAATGTTTTCGAAATCCAAATTGGTGTAAGTAAAATAATTTTGATTCTTCAAAGAAAGTGTATAATCGCTTATGGACAAGTTTCTCAATGAGCTTAGAAAATACAGACAAAATAGATATTGGCCTGTAATTTGTAAATTTGTCATTTTCACCAGATTTAAATATGGGTATGACTTTAGCCATTTTAAGAAGATCAGGAAAGCATCCCTGTTGAAAAGACATATTATAAATAAAAAGAAGAGGGTTTAGAAGTTCATCCTTAGACTGACGTATAATAATAGGTTTGATATCATCAATAGATGCACTGCTATCTTTGAGATCTCCCATTAGGTCATGTAGTTCATGGTGAGTTATTAAGTCAAAATTAAATTTAATATCTGTTTTTTTCATTGAGTTAATAAGTTGAGACCAATGTTTTCCGCATATTTCTTTCCAATAGTTGCGAAAAATTCATTAAATTTGTTAGAGATTTCAGTTTTATCTGAAATAACCTGGTCATTAACTATAAATTCATTTTGAGATTTGGGGTAGGCTTTTTCTTTTTCAAAATATCTTTTATGACAGCCCATGTATCCTTTATATTACCGTTTGCAGAGTTAACTCGGTCTCGATAATATGAACGTTCGGAAGTTCTTATAGTGCGTCTAAGTAAGCGTTTATATTCTTTGTATGCTGTCAAATTGGTAATTGTGGGACATTTTACATATTTATAGTACAATTTATTTTTAACCTTAGTAGAATTTATGATACCTATAGTTAGCCAAGGGCGTGAGTTATCATTGTAATGCTTAACTCTCTTTTTTAAGAGGGGGAATGACTCATTATAGATTTTAGAAATTATGTCATGAAAAATGTTATATGCATCATTTGCATTATTGCTAGAATATAAATCAGTCCAATCTACAGTAGAAAGCTGTTGTTTGAACATTTGTAGATTTTGGGTAGTATGTTTTCTGTATGAAATTGTTTTGAATTTTATAGTGCTAATTGTTGACTCAGAAAGTGCAAATACTGGAAAATGGTCAGAAATATCACTTAAGATGACACCCCCATGAATAAAATTAGACATATTAGTAAATATATTGTCAATTAAGGTCGCAGAATGGGATGTTACACGGGTAGGCTTGTATATCAATGGTCTGTGATTATAGGAGTACAAAATATTAAGAAAGTCATTATACCTTTGTGAATGTCAGATTTGAAAAGATCTATGTTAAAATCCCCAGTGATGACAGAAAATTTATTTTCATTATTGATTTGTCTAAGATATGAAGTTAAATTGACATTAAATTCATCAATATTAATTTTTGGAGGTTTGTATAGAGCAGTAACGATGATGTTCTTAGATTGTTGGTTGACAATTTCAATGGCTAAGGAATTGCACTGATCATCGTGAAATTTGATATCATGTCTGAATTTGTGGCAAATACCATTAAAAATGAATAAAGCAGCACCCCCGCACAATCAGTTCTAGAAGAGAAATACGGTGTATAATCAGAGAAAAGAGATGCACATTGCTTCTCTGTGTCAGAGTTCAGCCAGGTTTCAGAAAATGCCAACACTTGAACTGGATTTTTCTTTAATTGATTAATATATAAAACGTGTCCAATATATTGCTCTAAATGATACAATCTTTGAAATTTTAAAAAATTGTCTAAAACAATAATGGCTGTAGTAAAAAGGTAAATCGATCGATTTTCAATTCAGTTTTTTTCATTTTTTCTTTTTCTAAGAATGATACCAAATTTTTTAAATTGTATCATTTTAAGCAATATATTGGGCAGATTTTCTGAAAAAGTCAAAAGATTCTGTTCAGTGACCTTTCCTGGGCACCTACTCTTAGCTGTTTTTCAGGCACATTTTCAGAGGGCTGAAAAGGTTATTTCTTCATGTTTATGGTCATTCTGGCCATTTCCGTTGTCTTCCCGGTCATGTAAATGATATGTGGAACTAGTTAAACTGACTGGAGGTCCAATCAGAACTCTGTTATCTTGGTTCAAAACATTTTCAAAATCCAGCATGGCTTTGTCACTTCCTGTTTTGTCATTTCCTGTTAACTTCCATAGCACCTTAAAGCAGAGAGCTCTGTTAAAGATCTATATTTGCATTTGGTAATTGAATCCATGACATCATTCTTTATATACATTTCAATCTCATCATTTTCATTAGAAAGCCTCTCATTAAATGGGTTAAAGATTTTATGTTCAAAATTGGCAAGTAAATCAGCATAGGGAACAGATTCAAGGTATTCAATATCATCAATAACACTGTAAAATGGAAGTTCATGACACAATGTATCAGCCACATGTAAGTCATAGGTATCAACCATTTGGGGTCAATATGACATTACTCATATGCAAAACCTGAAAACATGTCCTGTGTCTGACCCAAAGTGTTATAAGTTTATAGTTCATGGTGTTTTGCAATAACTCACAGGATCAAAAATAACTCAAGTATTACCATGTAGTCCATTTGTCATTTTCTGAACGTATAAATATTTAAAAGTATGATGTTTTTCTGTGTAAATACTATCATTAGGGATTATTGGAGTGATTTAGCTGGGTTGCCAAAAAAATAAGTTTGGGGAAAATTTTTGTATCTATTACCATGGTAACATACCAGGTATATGGTGGTATCCAAACGCTAAGTCAATAGTCAACGCCATGTTAAGCGATTGCACCCCTCCCTAATCAGCCTATATAATGTTTTCCCCAAACAAACTGTTTCGGCAACCCAGTTAAATCACTTCAGAAAACCCTTATTATCATAAATCGACCATAAAACATCGTACTTTTAACAATTTCTAGGTTCACTATTGGATGTATAGGGGTGACACATGGACTAATGATGTAGTAGTGAAAGAGGAAAAAATGATAAATATTAAAGAGATGTACCACAGTTAGAAAATAAGAAACAAAACTCAGACCAGGCACATATGTAACTCTATGTACAAAACATGTATATACCAATATACATATTGATTGTGGCACACCTCTTTAAAATACCTGTAATATTTGAATGTAACAAAATCCATTGAAAATATAAGCAACTCAATAATATTAACCAATAAAATTAATGCAATCACTCTCTCTTTATTATAGAGAGGAGTCCTGGTTTATCACCTCATGTTTGAGGTATTGGCCATGCAAAGACCTAGTCCTGGGGCTGTACCAAATGATCACCTGGTTTCGCTTCTAGAAGAGGCCCAGTATATAGCCTGTTATTGACAAACAGTTTGTCCACTTTAAGAGAGGCTCGGTCTCCCTTTTTTTAAATTCTATCATTGTAGGGATAAGCTGCTTTCGACGTTCTCGTATCTCATCTGGGTATTGGAGAGGTTAAGCTTTGCATATATAATCGAAACTGAACCTGTACGTATCACTCGACCATATACAAATTCATGTAGCCTTCTCATATAAATAGCCGTTCAAATCCAGTGTTTGTTTAGACTACACCATAGCGTGTAATGATTCTATAGTATGTCATTGATGCGGTTTTATAGCTGGTTTTCTAATATATATTTTAAACGAGCTCGTTTCGTAAGATTTTTGGCGCTAAATCATGCATGACATACATCATCGTGTTCAGCAAGAATTCAACTGTGCATCGAAATCAAAATTGACAGCATAGTGTTCAATAGACACGAGTAAAATGGTTCCCGTTGACCCAACGTCAAATATTCAAATCTCCCGTTCTAAACCCGAAACTCTGAAGCTGAAAGAGTATCTGAAGTAGACTAAGCGCGCATAAAACTATGAGCGCTCGATACATTCCTTTGTTAATTTTTGTACTTTGCGTTCACGGTTACGTTGTGAAAAACATCGTTAGCTTAACCTCTCCATTGTTGAGAGATAGAGAAATTGGTACCTTTCAGATTCTTGGCATTCTGTAGAAGCATGTCCTTGACAAAAGGATTCGAGAAGTGAGCTACTACTGGCCGAGTATTTCCTGCTTTTAAAGTTCCCAGTCGATGAAATCTATCATATCCTTTGCAGGCAGTTTCAAGATCATCACCTTCCACCTTAAGATTCTCCTTAATGAAATTATCAATTTTCAGTTTCTGGGGATTTCGTTCGCCAGGAACCGATGTTGTTAGTGTTTGAAAAAAGATCAACTTTGATTGTAGGTAGACTGTAGTGTTATGTTAGAAAATGGCATATACACTGAACCGAAGGGAGATGGAAATTGCCCTGGAAACGTTGAATCAACCAACGGATGAGTACCTTAGGATTCAGGTTAGAAGCCATATAAATTCTGATTCTGTAATTCAAAGCATTTGCCAATACAAGTGAGCTCTAAATGTTAATTTATGCATCTGCCATATTTTGAGAAATGTTCCATCAAGGTTCATTTACTTATGAATTCACCAGAAAAGTATCAATTAACTGATTCAAATATTATCCTTGAAGGATCATATTTTCAGATGGTATGCTTGTTAAAGAATTGTTTACAGGAGGTAGTGACGGACTTTGCATTCATCGTGGATGAGTTTCCAAACTTCAACATAATCATCGGTCGACCTATAAGGATCTTATGTCGGTAAGACATGCTGTTACATGTTTTCACAACATGACTTGCAATGATAGTTTTAGAATGATATGTCACAGTGGAGCTTGTATGAAACTTCGCAATCTGATAAACTGTTCCTTCAGGCGACCATGCCATACGGCAACCGCAGGTTTTCTGTCTCCACAATTTCACAGTAAACGCCGTACGGCTACTTTAGTATGTGACCGTTGGCATTCTCCAGCGGCCGTAGGATTACTATCGGCCGTAGAAGTATTAGACCATACAGTCGCTGTACTAAATGTGACAGCGACATATCTGTGTCACTTGCCACCAATGAACTCACACATCTGTGCCCTAAGTGGTGGAAAATATCGACGGATCGCCAAAATAATCCACACATGTTATGTTTGTAGAGCTCCTCTGAAGCATGGCCGAGTATCTGGGGTCCCATCTTCTACATATTAAGAGAAGACAAGAATGATGCTTTATTCAGAAAAATGGTGTTGAATAATGATGTCATTGATTGGACCCGGAATAAAGAAAAATCTTTGTTTATATATGGTATGACACTCCCCTGGTAAACCCTTTGTGATTTAACAAGTTTTGAAATGATTTATATCATAGAAAACGGTGTATGTCCTAGCAGCTCAATTGAAAGTCGGTTGAAAGATCCAATGAGGCCAGGGCAATAACGCAATTTAATGATATACCACGTGTCCTGTAGTAGTTTGGTTTGCACATTCTTAGCTTTTGCATCTTGGGGAAGCCAGACGCTTACCCAACCACACCCTTCGATATTTGTGATAAAATTTGCTTCAACGGGAAACATTTTTTAACTCGATGTCAGATAGTAGCCTGAATGTTGCAGCGTACCTCCGGGAAACCAAAAAGACTTATTCACTACGATTCGACCACATGTTAGGAACTTTGTCGAACAATTTAGAAAATGTATTTTTAACACAAACTAGCTTAACCCTTTAGCGCCTGGAACATGCTCTCCCATGTGAACCCAGCCTTTCAGTAGGTCATGTAGGTTCGAACCTTAAAGTGAGTTCCGTAGTTTATCAGTTACCTAAACGAACTTACAAAAAGTGGGTTTGCAATAGGTTCGAACCTAACAGCACCTTAAACACTTTTTAAAATTCATAACTTCTGGGTTCACTATAGAAGCCAACAGGAACCTAAAAAATTTGAAATATTTTGACCTACCTAAAGCGAACCTAACCCCCCTATCACACCAAACTAGTTCTTACCCGTTCTTGCCAGTCCTACGAAAACGTCGTAAAACGGGCTCAATCTGGCTGTGGTCGGGAAATATGTCTAAAATAATTAGCTACAAGTGTATTTCGTTCATAAACAGTCTTCAATACGTCCATCTCACATTCACAGTTCGTTCAGGTCGCACCACGTCGGTGTGCAACGTCGTATAACGCGTCCCTTAGTCTAGAAGGTCACAAATGACATATCATTGTAAAGTGGAGACACGTGGGTTCATGATAAACTAAATGAAATTGATGTAATCATCTCTAGTTTTGTGATTTTACAATGTTTTTCTTTGTTGCGTTTTTGGGATGCACCGTTTAGCCGCATGAAAACCATGTTTTAATTAACCCCCTATCACACCAAACTAGTTCTTACCCGTTCTTGCCAGTCCTTCGAAAACGTCGTAAAACGGGCTCAATCTGGCTGTGATCGGGAAATATGTCTGAAATAATTAGCTTCTTCGTTCTTAAACAGTCCTCAATACGTTCATCTCGTTCGCAGTTCGTTCAGATCGCATCGTGTCAGTGTGCAACGTAGTAGAACGCGTCCCTTTGTCTAGAAGGTCAACATGACCTGATTACAGAACGGTATGGTCGCCATCGAATTTTGAATCAATTCAAAATTCTAAAATCACATTCCCGTCTGAGAACGTTCATAAAGTTCGTAAATAGACCTTAGAAAGTTGCAGCTACGTTCATTCCGTTCGCACACAGTTTAAAACCAGTTTTGAAGAACGCAGTGGCAACTTGTTTGGTGTGATAGCTATATTTTTGCTAACTCGTTCATAAGCAGTGTTAAATACGTTCTTAATCAGTTTAAACCCGTTTGGAATTAGTTCTACCTCGATTTCAACACGTCCTCAGACAGTTCAACTCGTTGTTAAAACGTCCCTAGAAGGATTGAAGTACGGCGGTTCCGTTCGTAGTACGTCGAGCTCGTCGTTAGTACGTTGTCACTCGTTCTAATTGTAGAACGTGACGACCACGAGAACATTTTGAGCATTGTCTAAGTTCTAGAGGACCTACCCGTTCGAGTAAGTTTGTAAATAGATCCTAAACGGTTCTTAGTAGGTCCAGTCCGTTCGTACACAGTTGAAGCCCGTTTTCGAGAACGTAGTGAGAACTAGTTTGGTGTGATAGTAGGGTTAGTGAAGCAACGTTTAATGCCAAATGGCGATTGGTATGCTTTTACGTACTGTTATATTGTTTTAATAAAGTTAAATAAAAACATTAACACCAAAGACATTTGGGCTTTTCACGAAAATTGAGGCCGGTCTATTTTTAGAAATGCGTACGGGGCAATTTATAAATCAAAATCAGGGGAGTAGAGTTATTGTTGTAACACGAGTTATCATACAGTTTTGTGATGTTATACTAGGAGTAACTGAAACACAAAAATCTGTATTCGATGAGGTCGCTCAGATGTATGGTCGGGTTCCTTTGGGTGAAGTTCTGGAAGGAAAGACATTTTCAATACAAAAGGATGACATTAACGAAGCCTTAATGTAAGTATTACGAATACTTAATTTTTAGTCACTCATACCGGAGATTTTTGTAACCAAATCTCAGACAAACTTTTCACGGTTCTCACTCTAACCCCCCTATCACACCAAACTCGTTCTTACCCGTTCTTGCCAGTCCTACGAAAACGTCGTAAAACGGGCTCAATCTGGCTGTGGTCGGGAAATATGTCTGAAATAATTAGCTTCTTCGTTCTTAAACAGTCTTCAATACGTCCTTCTCGTTCGCAGTTCGTTCAGGTCGCACCACGTCGGTGTGCAACGTAGTAGAACGCGTCCCTTAGTCTAGAAGGTCAACATGACCTGATTACAGAACGTTATGGTCGCCATCGAATTTTAAATCGATTCAAAATTCTAAAATCACATTCCCGTCTGAGAACGATCATAAAGTTCGTAAATAGACCTTAGAAAGTTGCAGCTACGTTCATTCCGTTCGCACACAGTTTTGAAGAACGCAGTGGCAACTTGTTTGGTGTGATAGCTATATTTTTGCTAACTCGTTCATAAGCAGTGTTAAATACGTTCTCAATCAGTTTAAACCCGTTTGCAATTAGTTCTACCTCGTTCTCAACACGTCCTCAGACAATTCAACTCGTTGTTAAAACGTCCCTAGTAGGAATGAAGTACGACGGTTCCGTTCGTAGTACGTCCAGCTCGTCGTTAGTACATTGTCACTCGTTCTAATTGTAGAAAGTGACGACCACGAGAACATTTTGAGCATTGTCTAAGTTCTAGAGGACCTACCCGTTCGAGTACGTTCGATGAAGTTTGTTAATAGATCCCAAAACGGTTCTTAGTAGGTCCAGTCCGTTCGTACACAGTTGAAGCCCGTTTTTGAGAACGTAGTGAGAACTAGTTTGGTGTGATAGTAGGGTAACACCCCAGTCACATTTCCTACGGCGACCTTGCGGTCTGTCATTTCTGCGGCCAGTTGCTTTTCTACGCTCGCCGCAGAATTTCCGCGCTCTCCTACTTTTGCAGTCACATTTCCCACGGCAGCCGCACGGTGAATTTTAAATTTCTGTTGATAAATAATACTTTTGTTTCATTTTATTTACATCAGGACAATTTATATGTTATTCGTAGTGCTAGGATGTAATATTAAATGAAAAGGGATCGTGAAACATTGACAAATAATGATTCAATCTTGTTGAGCCAGTTGATTTCTACGGGGACCTCAGAAATGAACAAATATTATAACTCGAGTTATAATTTCTACGCCTTCCCTGTGGCCTGTAAAAATCTGCATTCGCCGTACGGAGGCCGCAAGGCGAGCGTAGTTTTTCTACGCTCGCCGCAGAAATTCACCGATTTAATTGTTCTGCGGTCGACTTGCGGCCGCCGTGCGACAAATGTGACTGGGGTGTTAGGGACATTTTTTGAAACCTAATGAATAATGAAATAGCAATGTCAAATAATTGAAATAATCTCTCCAAATAAAAGACACTGCATGCTAAATATTAAATAATTTGCATTCAAGAGAGGTACCCACTATGAAGCAGTTAACTTGTTCAACACTACGCCTTGATGAAGCTGTTCTAGTTCAGCGACGCTGGCAGCATATCCTTGCAGATGATCCAGACATCACAGCAGGAATAGAGTTCTGTATTAAAAACTTTCCAAATATATGTCTGAGGAATGATAAGCGTGAAGTCATAGGACATATGTTGACTGCATGCAATGGTGAGATGCTGATGTTAAATGTGACCGAATCCCATAGACGTCAAGGACTTGGTACAGCTGTACAGTTATTGCTGTGTAAAAAAATCTATGAGCAAAATGAAAGACCGTTTTGGATAGTGCTAGCAAATAATGAACAGTCTTTACAGATGAATGCAAAAATGGGTGCTCAACTCTTAGATAATGGGATGATATTGTACGGATCTAGATATAAATACATTGGCTAAATATTCTAAATTGTGATGGATGAAACTCCTAGTATGTATCCAACAGACCGAATATCTGATATATACTTTTAAAATCGTGACAAATCAATACAAATTGCATCCAGTGATATTAGATGTACATGTATATATCCTCGTGAACTTGTTACAAGTAAGTGATTATGAGTACCAATTCTCACAATATCCATTTTAGCTTACAGGAGGATGAAATTTCGTCATCCAAGGTTTACATCATCTTTTTGTGTAGCGATTCTGTTTATATTTGATATATGAATAGTCATGACCATGGTACATTGCTTTATGCCTAGGACTAGACTTTGACTAGAAGGCGGCCATTTTGAAAATGACCACAGTGTTATTCACGTTTTTTTACTATAACTCAAAAGGTAACAGCAAATTTTGTTCAAATTTTCAGTAAATACTCATAAGCATGGCTCATCGTCTATCGACTCTTTGGCTGGTCATTTTGAAAAATGACCGCAATTTTCGTACTTGTGTGTGATTTTGTTGAAATTTCATATGTGCCTAGTTAGAAGCATATTACACTTTCTTGAGACAATTTAGCTAGTTTGCGACAATTTTGAAAATGTTGACCTTCCATGACATTTTTATAACAAACATGTGTCAGTATCATGTCTCAGAAAATGTACATGTTTGCGAACAAATGGTTCAGAAGACCACGGAATCGTCGATTTAATACCTCACTTAAGTTACGTAGACGGAAATTCGAAAAACGGTTAAGATCTGCATTTCTAACCGATTCCGTTTAAATTGACAATTCTATTGTCTTCTGAACTATTAATTCGCAAACATGTACATTTTCTTAAACATATGATACTGACACACGTTTGTGATAAACATGTCGCGAGAGAATTCTGCCCACAACGCATGAGTTGATCACCAGGAAAAAGGAAAAAAGAAAAATCGTACCTTCGAGGTTCCGGACATTTTGTTACCGACACGGTAACCAACGTTATCGAGTGGATCACCAGTGCCCTGAGAGGACATTGATTCTACGTTATCGCATCCTACGACCCCTTTAGATTGTGGTCGTAGGCCCGTTTCATTCGTAAGCCTGTGTTTCTACAATGTCGGAGAATGAACTATGCATTGCACACATAAATGACCTACCTCGATACATTCCTGAGTATTTTAGAATTCTTTTCATATAGTTGAATCGCAAATTGTATGGGTTTATCGGCAGAACGAAGATATTTTCGTTTTTGATAGCAATATTTGCGTGTAGGTTCAACCGTCAAATTCCTCCATTCAGTTCCCGGCATGCACCAGTCATAAGGGAAATCCCTGGGGAATTCCCCTTCCGACATTTTGAAAATTGCTGAGATATTTCCGATGTAAAAACTAAAATATCTTCGTTCTGACGATAAACCCATACAATTGGCGATCTAACAACATAAAAATAATTTTAAAATACTCTGGAATGTATCGAGGTAGGTCATTTAATAGCGCAATGCGTAGTTCATTCTCCGACATTGTAGAAAGACAGGCTTACGAATGAAACGGGCCTACGACCGGGGCCTACGACCACAATCTAAAGGGGTCGTAGGATGCGATAAGATTCTACGCGTTCTTCATCTCTTTTAACGTGATGCTTAACTACCTCATTAGCTCTATTAAGTTATGTACGACTCCCGGGGAATGTACTTGGGTGAAATACAAATAACCACTGCACAAACAGATGATTATCGGCAGTGGCTCTCTTCCGAACACTCTCACCACTATGTACATTACAGATACAGTTAACATTATGTAGACAAATAGGTTCAAAGTTTTTTGCATTCTTTTTTAATACAGTTTTAAAAATCAAGCAGCTATATATGATCTTATTTCGACTCAAAAACTGATCTTCTAATTAAAAGAGTATCCATAATATTCCGTTTGCAATGCAAATTGTCGAAACTTACCATATAATCAGTTAGCTAGGTCCAAAGTTTGCTTACTCTTACTCGGCTGCAGTTTTGTGTACTATCCTGTCTATCCTATGTTATGAAAATATATACAAGCATGTGTTAGGTGCTTGTCTTGTTTGAAGAGGAATATAGCTAGTTCGCCTAGTTTGATTGTACAGCTTCACCCCATGCTAAAGATCGACTATAATTACATTCGTATGAAGTGAGATTCGACATTCACCAGAAAACTACAAATAATTTGTCACCCATGGAGCAAATTATATTTCATATCTTGAAAAATGACTTGTTGTCTAAGAAGTTATCATAAAAAATACCGTCCCCGGGTGGGCTTGAACCACCAACCTTTCGGTTAACAGCCGAACGCGCTAACCGACTGCGCCACGGAGACATGTATAAAAACGATGATAATAAATAGTTCAACAATGGTAGATCGATTATCTAGATGATAGAATATTGAATTTATTGTATGTATAAAACGATAGAAGACAATTTGAGGGTTTACCGAACCACATTAGCTTATTATTTGTACAGTGTGTCCCCCATCGAATAAATCCACACCATCAGATTCAAAATCCGTCCAAGATTGACTGCACAGGACAGATTTTATAGACGCATGTGAAATCTGATTTGCGCCAAATTCTCAGTGAGAATAATCTCTGGTGATCAATTATTTTTTGGTGTGAATGCTGTGGACAGCGATATCTTGATATGATCAATGATCCAGTTGTTTCTTTCCTGAATAGAAATACAAGATTTTATTGTCAGAGTGTTCAATTTTGTTACCTACAGGTATGATGGCAACAGGATTAATTGTGCAAAGGCCTTTGGCGGATCGTTTGGTAGAACTCTTTGGAAATCAGGAGAAAGCATTGAATTACCCAATGGATTGGCCCCCGGGGTCATCCCACTTTACACCCTTGATTTTTTAAAGGGCCTCTGAAAGCGCTTTACGGCATCATAAACTGACCTAAATGAACTTCTGCAAAAATAATTGATGAAATCAGAGTGATATAACAATGCATGTGCGCATGGGTAAGGGTACCTCAGATTTGCTTTGGAGAACATGTTGAGGGGACCACATGTATATAATGTGGATAGACCCAATGATCATATGTAAGACAAATAGGAAAGTTACGAATGACTCAGTTAAAGGTCAAGCTACTACTCAGGAGAAAGTTAAATATTAAAGAAACTGTTCCTATTTTGTTATTTGGTCCATCCAATCACTTTGAAGTTGGCGCAAGTCAGATTTTACCATGGGACACTAAAAGCTGTCTTGTGGAGCCAATCAATGACAGATTTTGAATTTGATGGTGTCAAGTTATTCCAGAAAGATTTGTCTTTTAGTATTCAAAGTATTTTAGGGGAAAAGGCAAAATTATGAAATATATTGAACCTTTTGTAAGTGTAACATTTTTTGAGACACACTGTATACTCTAACGACTATTGTTTAATACGGGGTCTTGGTCGGCAAAAGATGTTGCCGTTTCTACATCGTAGGTTCCGCCGGGTTTCGAACCCAGGACCTTCTGCGTGTTAGGCAGACGTGATAACCACTACACTACGGAACCTTTCGGATGAACATCTTTAAAATAATATTGTTTTTATAAGGGCGAGGACATATCATACTTGAAAGTCACATTAGTAAAGGGGTGGCTAGGCCAAGCACCTCTTCTGCACCAAGGTTCCAATACATCGTTGTAAAGCTGAGGGTGTCAACTTCGTGGTAATGTTTACATTTTCTCTTTCAAATAACCACCAATGAAAGCAATGCCAAGTTTCTTTTTTACATCATACTTTTTTGTTGATTTTGAGTGTACGTCAGTTACATAAAGAATATGTTTTGTCACGCAGAGAAGTAAAAGATGCTTTGTGAGAAAATAGGCGTGGCAATATCAAGTAGTATTGTAACTACATTTTAAGATGATTAGAAGACCTGACATTATTTCTGCTTTAATGTTCAATTAGGTAGATAAGCTGGGAGCTATAGAAAGCTTGACTTGGAAGAAATGAGGACACTGATCGATGCAGCAACAACAAATGACGTCCGTCCGTTTGTCCAGGTAACTCAAATACCGGCTTACGGATTTGATTCAAATTTTATAGGATTATGTCACATAGGAGTACAACCTCTGCTCGAGAAGGAATTTTCAATATGACCACTTAATTCAAAATGGCCGCCGTTTTTCGTAAAAATATAATCTTTGATAACTCAAACACTAGTTGATGGTTTTGGTTCAAATCTTATATGCTGATGTCTAGGGACAAAGGAGCTAGGCTGAAGAAGAGATTTTCAAAATGACAGCTTAATATCAAAATGGCGGCCATTTTTCGTAAAAACGTAACATTGGATTACTCAAATACACGCCCGGTGATCGTGAAAATGGGACGGAGGGGGGGGAGCAGGCAATTTCCGCTAGAAAATTCAACAAATCTGGTAAAATTATTTTTTCAAGACAGAGTTTACGATTGAATTGCAAATTGAATAAGCGCACGGTATGATAAAATATGTTAGGTATTCTAGGATTATTTTTCAACCGATACTCTTTTAAGATAAAAGATCTATTAAAAAAGGCGCAGCGCAACCAACGTGCAAAAGTCAAAGCTTTTGCTATAAATCAAGCAACAATGGACTGCACGACCTGTAATAAATACTTGTAAGTGATGTTATCATAACTAAATTAATATCATTGCTGAATTTATAAAATAAGTTTCCATACGTAAAATAAAAAATAATCGAAAATAATTAAAATGGGACGGAGGGGAGAGGGGACGGAGGGAGGGGGGGGGGGTAATAATTCTATAAAGTGAAACAACTTCACACGAATTCTTGTATTTGAAAAATGAACTCATTAACTTAGTAAGAAACTGGATGATATACCCCTGGAGACTGAAAAATGGGGACATTTGGAGTAAAAGGACTTAAAGTCGCGAAACATCTCTAATCATGTCTTATATACATATTGCTCCCCCCTCCGTCCCCTCCCCCCCCCCCCTCCGTCCCAAATTCATTATTTTCGATTATTTTTTATTTCACATATGGAAACTTATTTTATAAATTCAGCAATGACA